GAGACTCCAACTCAAAAAAAAAAAAACGTGCTGAGATTATAGGCATGAGCCACCATGCCTGGCCTTATTTTTATTTTGTAGAGACAAGATCTTGCTATGTTGCCCAGGATAGTCTTAAACTCCTGAACTCAAATGATTCTTCTACCTTAGTCTCCCAAAGTGCTGAGATTACAATTGTCCACCACCATGCCCAGCCTCAGAAAATGTTATTTTTAGGGCACACTACGATAACAGTCAGCTCATGACCAGAGGGACGGGGGCACCAGTGTTCAAGAGCTGAGGGGATCATTTTCTTAGCATCCCCTGTAAACTAGTTCTCTGACTCTCCCACCAGCACTTGCACTGGGGGCTCCTTTTGTGGTGGTGGATCCCCCCAAGCTATGGCAGAAGGTCTTGACTTTAGCTGAACAGTAAAGCTCCTAATACCCACCACAGCCCAGGCCCTTCCCCAGATGTATTAAATCAGAATTGCTGGGAGTAGGGCCTCAGGATCCCTATCCTTTTTTTTTTTTTTTTTTTTTGAGTAGGAGTCTCACTCTGTCACCCAGGCTGCAATGAAGTGGCATGCTCACGGCTAAGATAGCCTCAACCTGTTGGACTCAGGCAATCCTTCCATCTCGGCCTTCCAAGTAGGTGGAACCACAGGCGTGTGCCACCACATCCAGCTAACTGGTTTATTGTAGAGACGTGGTCTCACCAAGTTGCCCAGCCTGGTCTCGAACCCCTGGACTCAGGCAATTCTCTCGCCTCTGCCTCCCGAAGTGCTGGGTTTACAGGCATGAGCCACCACACCCGGCTGGGATCCATATCACTTTTTTTTTTTTTGAGTTGAAGTCTCACTTGGTAGCCCAGGCTGGGGTGCAGTGGCATGCTCACGACCACCCCAGAGTCGACTTGCTAGACTCTGGTGATCCTTCTGCCTCAGCCTTCCAAGTAGCTGGAACTACAGGCATGTGCTACCACACTCAGCTAATTTTTGATTTATTGTAAAGACGAGGTGTCACCAAGTTGCCCGGGCTGGTCTTGAACGCATGGTCTCAAGCAATTCACTTGCCTTGGCCTCCCAAAGTGGGATTACAGGCTGAGCCACCAAACCCGGCCTGAGATCTGTATCTTTTAAAAGTCCCAGCTGAATTTGATGCGAAGAGAGGGCTGAGAACCATTGATCTACATACAGTTCAAGACCAGAACCAGAATTCTCAGACGTTGGCTCTTGAAACCTTGATTTCTTCAGAATTCAGGTTTCTATACTGAACTATTAAGGAATCCCAGCTTCTGTGGGGCACACAGTCTTCTTGTGGTTCTTGAGTTCAGCACAACTGGATTGAGGACCTACTCCATAGAGTACACTGCCAAGCACTCAGGATGCCAAGATAAAAGAGTCTCCCTGAGGGAGACAGCCCCACAGCTGACTCTCACTTGGTGGGACCAAGGTTATGCTGGAGGTGTGAACACACCTCTGTGAGACACAGATGAGGAGCCACTGGTGTGCTAGGGCTACCGAAGGTTTAATGAGGGGTAAGGAAATGGATTTGAACTGGGATATAAGGAATAACGTTACTACTGGTGGAGAGGGAGGGAAGGGCTGTGCTGGGAAAGCAGCATGAGATGCGCGGATCAGTGGGTAGTTAAGTGTGGCTGAGCTGTTCTGAGCATGTGGCGGGAATCAGCTTCTGATGCCTCACTCAGGAACTTAGATGTGAGCCTGTAGAAAATGGGGAGTTCTTTGTGTTCTAACAATGACGATAATAATGGTCATTTATTCCAGATCCCTTAAGATGGGCCAGAATTGCACAAAGCATTTTGTATACATTTATTTTTCCCAAAATCATGTGAAGTGGGGACTTTTATTTTCTTCATTTTACAGATGAAGAAACCCCAGCTCAGAGAGGATGAGTAACTTGCCCAGGTTCACACAGCTGATGAGTGACTGAGCTGGGACTCAAACTCAGGATTGAAATACCAAAATTTTTCCAGTTTACTTTGCTGCCACCATGCTAAGAAAGTGGCAGTGTAGGTGGGGCTGCCTTTCAAGAGATGTTTAGTAGATGGAACCAATGAGGCTTTTGGCCAGTTAGAAGTACCAAGGGGAAATAGAAGTAAGAGTCTGAGGTGACCCCTGTGTTTCTAGCTTGGGCACATTTGTGAAGCAGTGTCATTTATCAAGGGAAGGAGTGCATGGACAGGGGTTTGGGGACAGTGAGTTCTGGGATAATGGCCCATCTAGGTAGAGGTATCCCAGGAGTTACCATTTGTATGACACATCCTTGGCAAACAGACCCTTCTAGTCCCTAATGGTCCACCTCTTTCCATATTCGTCTGACTGCTGACAACCTCTTCATCTTCAAGATACAACCAATGCAAATGTCAGTGATACCACGAAACTGCACTGGGCCCCCTCCTTCCCGTGCTCCCCCATCCTTTGTCTGGCCATCTATTATATTCTACTTTGTTCTGCTGGGGATTATGAAGAGCCACGTCTCTGTGTTTCTCTCCCCTCAACTTTCCAGTCCCTTGAAGACACAGTTTCTCTCTGTCAGGCTCTTAGTAGGAGCTCCATGAAAGTGTGTTGAATTGGACTCCGTTGACAAAACTGCCAGCTGGCTACCCAAAGAGGGTAAGCTGTGTTGCTACGAGGCTTTCAGCTGCTGCAGCAGTACAGGTCAGGGCTCCCTGAATCGCCCCCATTACCATCTACTTTCGCGCAGTCATGTGGTTCCCTCTCCATTGTGCTCAGACTTAGTGGAGCATCTCCTTTCCTGGGTGACACGAAGCAGGAAACGCTGTCAAACATCACAGCAGTGAGTTATGACTTTGATGAAGAATTCTTCAGCCAGACTAGTGAGCTGGCCAGGGACTTCATTCGGAAGCTTCTGGTTAAAGAGACCCGGTAAGAGGACAGAGAAAGCCACTGGTTTCTCAGGTACTGACTCCCTCCTGTAGCCTCTTTCAAAGACATGTCCGGCTCTCCCTGCTTTGCCACAGCTGCCACTGCACCATGGTGGTCTGGGCAGTTGCTGGGAAGTATGGACTGGCCAAGACCCCCCCCCCTC